TGCTGCTAATCTCCCATTGTTCTGCTACCACGCTCTATTGTAGATGTGCCAGACACATCTCCAATAACTCCTGTTTATTGGTCTTTATGTTTTTCACTGTGGATTTTCAAATGATTGTTTGATGTGCCAGCAGGGGGCATTATGCACAGCTGGAAAACAGCCCAAGTGTCTGGTCAGTCCAGAATAGTACAAGGAAAATAATTGGCTCTGTGTTGAGTAAGTTGCATCATACAGGGTTTAGCCAGTTTCCCATAAATCCTGTATGCAGTACTCGTACAGTCGTTACTCCTTAATGTTGTTAATGTCTTTTAAAGAGGATTTGAAATTGTAGCTATTGTTTTTTTTTTGTCAAGGCAAAGATATGCATTTGAAGAATTTCCATATAGACGGTCTTTAGCATCAGGCCTTCAGCATTTAATTTGTTATCTTCTCTTTGTGATTACAGTCGTCATTTCGGAGATCAATTGGTTTGGACTGTTGTGTTATGCATGGATATTGTTGTCATGCCTCTGAATCATAATCTACTGTTACAATACATATTTACATAAATAGTATTTATACATTAAACTATGACGATAAAACATTCTTTTGTAAAATAAATCAGTGTTATCAGTCCTGATTAGTCAATTAGGGTAATTCATATTATCTGTTGGTACAAACAGATTAGATGTTATGGGGCAGAGGTGAACTAAATGTGGGGGGAAGCGGCTGTTGGATAAAATTGGGTGATGAAAGTGAAAACGTTATTTGTCCTTTTTCTCGTAACACTCCACATTCTCACCGTGGAGGATGGTTTAGTTTATGTTGCCAATCTAAACACATCACTTTTTCTGGCTAGAACCATATAAGGAGGTATAGCCCTCAGGGCAGCTCAAACATGTGTGCCAGTTTCAATGTTTTCTTGAATTACTTAAACTGACTGCTTGAAAATGTGTAACATAGAGCACTGTTGTATTTCTGATCCAAGGTGAAGGCAGCCATTCTGCAGCCAGTTACTAATTAAGAAGAATCTAGAGGGAGATCCTTAAAGCCCTCTGCATATTACATTAAGCTGCTCATTGTTATTCTATACCTGATTTGAATTAAGAATAGTAGAAACCCAACTGTGTGATTTAAGGGCACGTGCATGTGAAGTCTGAGGCGTAGCAGACAGTCGTAACGCCTGTACCTAGCTCTCTGCGGCACAATTCCTTTCTGCTAATCTCCATCCAGTGATGGACACATTTATTCATTAGCATTCATACGATTATAAGCTCTGCTGGCAAAGCCATGCAGATGATGTAGGGTTTGGTGAAACTAATAAACCACTACTCACAAAGGAGGCATGGTGCCATAAATGTTAACCTCCAATCACCAAAATGTTCTTTGCATGCACAATACAATGAGTCACCTTTTCCTCTCATTTATGCTTTTTGAAATGAACAAAGAAACTGCTACCGTTAGCCATTCTTGTGCGCTGACCACTGAGACATTATTGCTCTCCTGCAATCATTTGGCCTCTTCACACTCTGGTAATAAGTGTTGAGATTGGCAGAACAGCACTCCTGTTCAATACGTGGTGCTGAGCAAGGGTGTGGAAAATGAAGCTCCCATCAGGTCGATTTAAATGGAGAATTGTGATTAATTGGAATCGATAGTGTTGGCTTGGACACCCACCATTTCCCAATCTACAATGCACTGCCTTAACCCACGCTCAATGTGTATGTACACTTAACAAACACCCACACATATTCAAACATCATAACATGCATTCACTTCATGCCTTTGTGAATTATGATCCACACACACACACACACACACCTTCACACACACACGCACACACCAGAGTTCCCGTTAGCCGGCAATTACCGGACTATGACCGGTAAAATATGCTGAAGACCGGCAAATCTAAATCTCTCCGGTCAAAATTATTTCCCGCAATACCGCATCAGTTGCGCCACTTATGTGACAAACAAGAATAGTATGTGACAGACAAAAGAGTATGTGACAGACAAGAATAGTCAATTATAATGTCTACACTTAATGTGGAGAAAGAGATGTCCTGTATGGGTTGATTGTGCGTTGATCTGTTGGTAATGCCTCGGGGTTCCGGTGGGCATGTAAACAAATGCATAATGCTGCGCTATACTTTGTGGCCTCACCCGGTTGCATAGCGACGCTTATTGTTTAGGTGTCTTTTAATAATCAGGTAGTCATATCATTAGCTAGAACTAGCTAGATCTGATCGATATGGACATAAACGCGAGTAAAGTCTAATCTGACGGGAGAGATCAGCTGCTGCTGACGAGTCGACACGCATCTCTGCATGATCACCTGCAGCGGTGAGCGGAACAAAACACACACTTCAGGTTAGAATATCACACATAGCTATTTTAATTACCTCTCAAACTACCTAAACTAGTTATAGATATGTTTAGTTTTACTGTCGGGTCACTCATTAATGGATCCGCGAGCTGCATGATACTGGCGTGTTGTCAGGAGAGGGGGAGAGCGCTCCGTTTATTATTCCCGTGTTATTGTAAATTACTGTACACTTTTGAATAATGTAGTTAATCTACTATAATTAGTTTGTTTAATATCGAATCATATCAATTTGTTTCAAAGCTCAATAAATAACATAGAAGACCTTTGACCGGCACTTTTCTAATTTTGTCCGGAAGATTTAAACTGTAACAGACATGTTGACCGGCAAATAATTATTCTAACGGGAACTCTGGTACACACACACACACATCCTTAAGACACCGCAAACTGATGAACTCAGCCTGATGGGATGTGAGGGGCCTGCAGGAACAAAGGATTAGTCGATTGAGAGCAGGAGTCACTGCAAGCTTAGACAGAAAGTGCTCGCAACACCTGAAGATGTTTCTCTCCTCTCTGCAAATGATCACTCTATGTGGAACGAAATTGGCTTTTCATGTCTGCTGATTACTCCCAGTTTTTCCATTGTCCTCTTTGGGCAGAATGTGAAGTCACAAGATGTTACACAAACTCATAGTTTTATCTCGCTATTGGATCTTGAGCACATTAATTCATGGTCCTCAACCTTATCCTTTGCAATGTTATTGTTCCATGAGACGGAGCACCTCCTGAAGTTTTACGTTTCAGTTAAAGCTAGGTTAAATGTCAGTTTGTTTAGAGCTTACCCCTACAAAGTGTTCATTGTGCTTTGTGGACGCAGTGTAAGATAATCTATTTCTTTGTCTGTCAATGTTTGTTGGGTAGGACTAGACAAACATATCAGCTAGCACGCAAAAATACCTCACGAAAGATCACAACAGTACAAACCTTAAAGACTTCAGCTAATCATCGTATACTCCATCCTTTATTTAATATGAGCCACCCTGTAATGTCCACCTATTAATAAATGAAGTACATTAATACGTCCCTCCTTAACATCTGAGCACCCTTACTATCAAAGTTGAGGGAGACGTATACACAAAACTATATATGGTTTTGCACTCACAGAAGTCGTGAATATCATCAAGAAAATATAATTAATTTCTGTGAAAGATAAGGAATCTCCTTCTCGCACATAAAGACGATGTGTGAGCATAATCTACAAAACGTGCATTTTATTTTATTTTTTTAAACAGTGTTTTTCTTAATGAATTTCTATTCAAAGCCTGATATATATCCCAGAATTCCTCCTTAAATTGGCGAGACTGATTACTCACCCTGCACTACAGCTGCTAATCATACAAATAACAAGTATTTGATTAGCTGGGGAGCTCAGTAATCTAAATGATTCAGCTCAGGCTTTTTTTTCTACCCTTGTATGATTTTACAGTCGGGGATTGGCAGCTCTGATACAAAAGTATCAGTACTGGAATCAGCTAAACCCATATTAGCCAAACTATTGTGTGGAGATATTCTCAGAAAAGATGTGTGCATTGGCCCGGGCCAGACGAGAGTCTATAGCTGTTGGGGCCTTATCTTAAAGTGTGATTTACCATGGAGCCATTCTTGGCAGGGGATTTAAAATGGCTGTCTGTAGGTGAGAGAGGGCAGAGACGACAAATCATCACTCAGCATCACTTCCTGCGTAACAACACAGTTACAGCAGAAAAACTTGCACTCATGAATAGATAAACAAACATTAAAAACCCTATTTTCCCCATCCTCCATAGTCTCACTTTGGTACCCACTCATTTCTCTCTCATTTATACACACACATTACCAAGGAGACAACTTCAGTCTGCCCAAAAGCTCCAGAGGCCCTATATGGTAATAACACAACATGATGCTCTTTTCATTGTGGACGGAGTGGCCTTCCTACTTTTTTTAAACACAACTCTTCCTTCTTCACTAATAAAGCCAAGAATACCATTTGCAGTTCACACATTGTAATTTGTATTTAATTGAAGCCATTGTTTGCGATTGTTTTGAACGTGGCCCGCGAGTGTTGGTTTCAGATCAATGGTTTCAAACGCAGGAAATAATTATTTTGCGTTGAGATGAAAGTCTGGGTACAGCAGCACAAACAGCCTGTGGATCCAGCCTTTTTTAATTAGTGCTCTGTGTCTCCTGCTCTGCGTGGCACATTAACATCGCAGATAAGTGTTTGTGCTGTGCAACTGTGTGTGGGAGGTTGTGTGTGTGCATTAGATACCAGAGGTCGGGGTTGGGTGTGGGTTGCATATTCTGGCCCCTAAGATCTATCCTGGAAATGGATTGCAACATGCTGCTTCCAGTCCTCTGTTATGTTTCGCAGATCTGAAGATTAGATCTTGTGATAGTTTAAAACAGACACTCCAAGTTTGTCTAATTTCCCTCGCTGCTGTGTCAAAGGTCCCAGATCAGTCGACTTAGTAAGGCTTTCTTTAAATGCAAAAATTCCTTTGCTCTTACTAAGATGCTGATGCTGAGATACTGAAATCACCTTTTCAGGACCTTTAAACACCTAAAACACCTCTGACATGTTTAAAAAAGATTTGCTATTCTCCTGACATTGGAAGTAAGTGCTGGTTTTACATCTGTGTCTCTTCGCTGTCTTGCAGGGATGCCGCGGTTCGCCAGCCAGCCAACTCCGACCACTGTGCATCTAGGGAACAACCAGGTGATGGCGTGTGAGGTCAACTCAGATCTGATACCCTTCACCAGGTGGGAGAAGGACCGCCTGCCGCTGGAGATGAGCTCAAGGCTGGTCCAGCTGCCCAGCGGAGCCCTGGTGATCAGCAACGCTTCGGAGGCAGACGCCGGCCTGTACCGCTGCATGGTGGAAAATGTGGGGTCGTCGAAGTCCAGCGACGAGGCCCAGCTCCAAGTAGTGCCAGGTAATTTGACCTGATACAGTTTAGAAATGTTGTCCTGTGACAATGGAGAGAAGTGAGTTTGTATTGCTAGGTGTAGAATAGCTTAAACACATCTACAGTAAATACAATTTTACATTCTGTTTTTAGCTCATCTTATTCTATTTTACATGTATATATATTTACTTCTTACGCATTTACCTTGCTATGTCATTTTCATTTCCATAACTACACCGTAGCTACTGTGCATCACCCCAGCAACAAACTGTTCTGTCTGCTGCCGTCTGGCAGGCGGTAACTCAGCATCTGGACTAAAACCACCAGACTCTGAGACAGTTTCATCCCACAGGCCATTCGACTATTAAACACCGGAACTTTTTAAAGAACATCCATAAACATTCATCTGTTTGCGTCTTGCAAATTATTTATCTATCTATCGTATTCCATCTACTTGTATATAGACTCTTCTTGCACTATTTCTATTTTATTTGTATTTACTTGCACATCTCAAAACATTCTCTTGCACTATTATATCTGTTTTATTTGTTTTATGTCCTATATATATTCATGTTGCACTATTGAAGGAGCCTGGGACTTAAGTTTTTCATTGACATATCTACACCGTAGCTAATGTGCACATGACAATAAAGCCTTGAATTGAATTGAAACATGACAATAAATCCTTTGAAACCTTCAAACCTTGAATTGAAGTTGTAGAGCACTCGTTATTATTAAAATACAATTAGGTGCATCATTTACCTGTCAGCTTTGGGTTTCTCCCTACCTTTAGCGTGAATAAATCTGCCCAACTGTAATGAGAGAAGGGTGAATGCCAAAAGGAGGGGTACGGCTCCCAGTGGGGTTATCAGTAATGCCACAGTAACTCAGTTGCAGCTCAAAAGGGGGCTGAATTCCATTGTGGCAGTGTCTCGTCTCCAGCCTCTACAAGTTTTATTTACTGAGTTGTTAAGCACCAGGCTCCTGGCAGCACACAGAAGATATTAGAGGTCATAAATCAGACTACAACAAGACCCCAGTGGGGGTCTTTATCTCTGGATGACTCCTGCATGGATGTGTTGTTGAGTGGCAAAAGGCTGGATGCATTCCGACGGAAAACTCGTAAAGCTGTGTGAGGAAATTGAAAGACATTTTGTTTGGATGCATGCTGGCAGATGTTAGAGCGACATAAATACATTTATGGTTTTTTGGTTTTCTTTTAAGTCGCAACAAATCAGCTTAAGAATAAAGTAACTTGGGCGTTTGCGGGGGAGACGTTTAGAGTAGGAGATGGGCTTGGAGAAGAATATTTTATACATTTCTGTTTCTGAACTTAAATCTTGGTTTAAGCTTTAGAGAATTATGATTTAAGATAATTTGATAGTGCTGAACTCATCTGTATGTGCTGTGGTCAAACGTATACCCACACATACCCCGTGGTTATTGCTGGATGCAGTTAGTTGCAGCTGCAATTATATGGGATCACTTTGAAGTCCTAAAGAGCTGCGAGCTCGGCTGTCTCACACGTCAACATGGACATTATTCATCTGACCGGTCCTGGTTTGGGTGTCAGGACGGACTGGAGATCCTCTGAAGTTTATAAGACAGATGACACCCGTCATGTAGAAGGCTTCTACTCTGCTTCATTTACTCACCCCAACCTGATCCTCAGCCTTAACCCTGACATTTTTTTTTCACCATTTTAGAAACTGGAGAAGAGAGGAAGCTGGAGTTCCTGGTGCAGCCTGCAGCGGTCTCTAAGGTGGTGGGGGCCAGCGTGCTGCTGCCCTGCGGCGTCATGGGTTACCCTGCGCCACACATTCGCTGGATGTTTGGAGACAAGTTGCTGGAAGAAAGGTACGAGCATGAAATCCGTATTCATCATCTGAAGAATTAAAGAAGCCTTAAAGGTCCCCTATTATACTGTTTTTCATCAATATATTATAGGTCTCAGATATATACAAAACATGTCTGAAGTTTTTGGCTCCAAATACCAAACAGATCATGCATTGTAGCATCCCATAAACCCCTCTGTTTCAGCCCTGTAGGAGGAGATTCAGGTGATAAGGTGGCCAAAATCTGATCAGCTCATTTTCAGACAGGTTTTTATCCAAATGAATCAGGACAAAAAGAGAGAATCTTTTTTCCTGATACTCTCAGAATCTCTTAACGCAGAGGGGACACATATTTATGTATAAAAGATACGAGAAAGTGGATTTTGCATAATAGGTGACGTTTAAAAATGCTACAGGTTTTTTGGGGGCATAACTCTGATGTTATTCAAACCAACCTTCAAAATCACATTTAGCTTTCACATTTAAATAGTTAGCTAAAAAGATAGCCACAGCTGTGTTCCCTGGCTCTCACACGTTCCTACCTTTTTTTTTAAAGCAACACAGACCATAATGTGCTGCTCCTTTGTACCCGGGGCCCCTGGTCTCCACAAGCTAACCTGTTAGTGCTGGCGCCTGCTCCCCAAGGTGTTAATGCTTTTCTGCCACTGCTACTCAGAAGCCTCAGAGGAGCCCGGATGTGCCAACGGAGCCCCTTCAGCTGGGAGACCAGGCTGCAGGGTAGCCAGCTGAGGGGAAGTTCACAAATTAAAAGCAGAGAGAGAGAGAGTGTCACAGCGCCTGTGCGCTCACTTCTCTGGCTCTCATTAGCACGAGCGGAGCAGCTTAAATCCCCCAGAGAGAGTTGCCATGGGCTTGGGAAGTTTGATTCTCACCAATTAAGAAAGCACTTTGTTGACCTAAACTCTGTGTACCGGTCCCGGAGAATAATAACTTTGCAACTTGTGGGGTCGACAGAAAAGAGCTGAAATAAGGCTCATTCATCTAAATCCAGCCACACTATGGGATTTCTACCTTCAGTGAAATGAAATGTAAGGTCACCACATTGGCAACCACAATGGTCCTGTGGGGTGTGAGCTAGCATAACTTCTCCCAACCTTTAGTTTCAAGCCCAGCACTACATCTCAAGTTAAATGTCTAGGCTAAAAGGTGCTTACTAATCTTCCTTGTATTAATTACAAAACGCTATTCACCGTGCATACACGCCCCTTCAGGGTACCTCCACTGGCAATTAACAAGCGTACTCTGAAAAGCTAAGGAATTCTTTGAGATATTGAAGTGGACCTCCATGCTCCTGCCTCCAGAGCAGAAATGGATTGTGTGGCGAATACATTACCGCCGCTGTTCTTTTGATTTTAATACGACATTGACAATTAAAAAGAATAGCCGTGGAACTTTCTCTTTTCTCCTTGAGAGTCTCCTGTCCCTCTCAGGCATTACATGAGAGATATAAGAGCTTCTGTCAATTAAAAATCTGTGTGGCATACAGTCTAGGGGAGAGAGAAAGGCAAATCTGCAAAGAGTGCCTAATTGGTCTTTGGTGCAGAGCACAAACAGGGCCTTGAAAGTGGCGACGCAAAGCTGTAGACATAAGATGAAAGTTTATATAGATGTGTCAAAGCTACCAATTGAAGGCAGGGTGACTCACTGACAGCGGGGATTATCACATTGAGCTTCTGCCGCTGGTGCTTCAACTTGGTCATGTCTCTGGTTTTCTTCTGTCTCTCTCTCTCTCTCTGTTCATGATTGCTGGAAGCCTGTTTTATTTTTAGCTGCAGAAGAAGGGCAACATTGAACTGAGTACCATGGGTTTAGACCATGCTGATACTTGGATGTCTACGTGTCCTCCTCTCTGATACCTTTACAGTCCTTCCTCTTTCTGACTGACTCCTCAGAAGTACTTTAGGACACTTTTAAATCCTTCAAAAGTCCTTTCAAAATGTGCCATATAAGATATTTCCTTTATGAGTCTTATAAGTCTTTTGAAGAGTCTCATTAGTACATTTTTCATAACCTTCCAGAAGACAGACATAGGTTGTTTTTTGTGTATCACCTGTCTATATTGCCATGTAAGACTTCAAACTCTTTGATGTCTGTGATGACAGATGGGGACAGAGCAATAACCTGAAATGGAAATTTAGAACAGGTGGTTGTCTAACTCTCAATTGCGGAATAGTTGATTTATTTCTTATAAAGTGCTGTCTATGTCTCTTTAAAGCCCGTCATGATGGGATTATACTACACACTGTTTTTGTCTTTTGCAATGGTAAGACTAGGCATCATCAGCTAGCAGTCCTTCTCATACATTTAGGTGATAGAGAAGGAGACTTCCCTTTTCCATCTTACACCACTACAAACAATTGTTCATGTATGTAAACATATATGATTGAAAGTAAATCCAGAACCATCGTCCCTAGAAAGGAGGGTGCATACATATGGTGTGCAGATGGTGATGGTTACAGGTTCAAAAACACATTTCTTATTTTTCTTTGCACCAAATTGTTTTTAATTATTTGTGTGGATCTTCCTAAAAGAGGTCATAACAACGCTGACATCCTAGTCTTTTTTGGGGGGAAATCAAGATGCATCCTATGCAATGTTTTCCTAGATTAAACGTAAATTACCTTAAATGTACACACAACAATTAAACTGGCAATAAGGATGCCCTGTGTTTGTCCAGTCAGACCACTAGCTGGTTGATATTGTATAGTCTGATAACAGCAATGTGTTTGTCTCATTGTCAGTGTGACCAATTAGATGTTGGTTGTCTAATGACTGTTTAGTGTAGGTAAGTATAGTTTTTAGTAGAGATGTAGGGGATGCTGCTCACACGATCTATTATGCTCTCTTGTGTGAAATTATTCAGCTGAGGTATCTCTCCACCGTATCTCGAATGAAAGATTGATATTGCGATATCAATTTACACTTTGGCTTATTCTGCTGTGACATGCTGTTTATGTATTCACCCGATCCTAGCCTCCTATTCATTTGGCCTCTGAGCAAGTCTATTGCCAAGGACACCAAGCTCTCCATTTATTTTTGATTAAGCTCAGCAGCACCGTGACAGTATATGCAACACTTGAAGCTCTTCAGTCAACATGTTGAAAACGCATTCTTAGCCAAATGCCCTGTGTGTCATCGATAGCAGGAGCCAGCGGGCACAGAGAAGCATTCCTTTGGACTCCTCACACATGGTCCTGATGACACTCATGAAAAGGGCAGTCATCTTTTGTTCTTGGGAGTATCGCTCCTAAGAACCATCCCCTAATAGAATTCCCCAGCAGTCAATAAAATGGATGAATTATGCATGTCCGCCAGCAACAGCGAATTGACAGAGCATGTAAATCAACTTCCTTCCGAAGCCTCCAAGCCATCCGTCTCCTTGTCTTGTAGCCTTCATTTAAATATGATTGTGTATATTGCATTTACTTGTGTATAGAGAGAGATGCACGGGGTAGAGAATTTGTTTGCAATTGGACTATTATTGAACTGCAGTGTAACCTTCTCTCACATATGTCTTCCATACAAACACACACACACAAATCACCTTATGCAAAACTAATACATATACACACACACACACACACACACACACACACACACAATGCTAGATACACACACATACTGTAGGAACACTTCTGGCCATGGGAAGTGTTTTTCTCAGTGGGCTACCATGGGAACCACATGAAGGTATGAACATGGCTTTAACCCTATTGTACATGCTAGTCTATATATGTTTCACAGTAAGAGCGCAAAATGTAGCCGAGTTTCAATTCTAAGCTCTTATAGTTTTACCTATTAGGAAAACTGTATATCAGCGAACAAGATTTACTTTTAAAAATATGTTGCTTATCCTTTCAGAAACTATTTATTTTCCATAACTCTACTTACAATTGGTCTTGGGCATATGTGTTAAGTTCCTACTTTAGTTTATATTAAGTGATCTTTATTTTAGAGTACATAAGGTATGTTTTGTTACTGCTAATACAGTCTCAGAGTTGTTTTAAAATGTCTCATGTATCACTGGTAGAGGCAAAAACTGCCTTTCTGTAAAAAACAAGGCAATACGTTATAATGGGCTTAAGGATTATAACTGTATTGTGCAATGATATTACCAATTTACAAAGAACATTTTGCAGTAGAATTTCTTAATAGATCACAATACATTTAAAACCAATGGTACTTTAAAAGCGGTTTGAGGATTGTGTTAGCTGGCAATGCTGCATGCACACACAGAAAAAAGTGTTTTTCTAATCTTTAAAAGGCAGCATAGCCGACCAAATGCCTCAGCCATTTAAACATTTCTTCCAAGATAAGAGTCCTTCAGATGCAATCATCCATGATTGTCCGTACTTTTGAGTTCTCCTCATCCTTTTGAGTGCAGTTCAGCATCAGCTGCTTGCTTTTAGTTTTGTAACTCTCAGTTTAGTTTTCAATTTAAGTTGAGGACATTCTGCACCCTTCTGCTCTTTACATGTGGATTTCAAATGGCCAGTGACATAAAAAGACATGGAGAGAGCATCTGAACCGTTCAGCCCGTCAGAGATACAACCTATCAACGTTAATGGCCTATGATTTCACTAGATCCTTTCTTCAGAGTGACTATTAGTGAGGTTGATGGCAAATGTCCGACACATGCTGAGCTGTAACTCATCCTGCAATAGCGAAATGATACACAGTTCATAGTCGCTGTTGGGATGTCAGTAAAAAACACATACCATACCACAGAATACATCATTTTCTTCCAATCCTAATAATGTAGAGGAAAAGATGTATGATAATGAAAGTAAAACTGCCTGGCCGTTCTATTAATTGAATCCTGTACAACATCTTGGCATATATATAAATATATATATATACATGTTTCTTCAATTGTGTTTGTTTTTCGTTTGTTTTCCCTTAGGGGTCTACTGGATCACATGATAATGAAATGTGTCTCTAATTTGTTATCCCCCCTGCATGCTAATGTTGTGGGCATAACATTAGAAACTCCTACTTATATAATACAATGCAGTACAAAATCTGGCTCCATCAATACTAGACTGTGTCAAACCGAACATTTAAACCTTTTGTAAAGGTATAATCTGTGGCTGAGCTGTCCAAGGAAGGGTTAGGATCTATGTGAGTTTGATAGAAACTGGTCTGCTCCACATGTTTGCCGCATTGAGTGAGGTGGGCATGCATGTGAGCACACACAGGAGGCTGAATCTGCTTAGGAATGGACTTTTCTTCAACACTGCTCATGTAACAGATGGCAGCTGCACAGTGGGTTAAGGTAATGGACACATTTTTCCTGGTGAGTAGGGCTGAGAAAACAAGACAAGCAACAAGGTATTCTGGCAGAGGAGCTCTTCTTTACAGTGTCTCTCAGTCTCTGAAACATCACAAACACACACTGGCTCTCTTCAAAGCCTGTTTCCTGTCATACCATCTATTGTTGTTTTGTGGGTTCTTGTCATATTGTCTTCTTTATTTCCATGTGACAATTGAGGATAAGAGGATTACACTGGATGTTGGCCATTGGGTAAATCTACTGTTTGCTGATTTTTTTTTGATAATTCCACAATAGGTACCAAGAAAAATCTTCTTTAGTCATACTGTAATTACTTGTAAAAGCTAAAACGGTGTGGCATCCTTTTTTGAAATAGACAATGAGTCTTTAATCGCTGAAGCCTGCACCTGCACATTGTCTTTCACAGAATAAAACAACTCTCCTTCCTGAGGCCGATCAGCAGACATTTAATCTGCTGGAGTTGTATAAACGTGACCCGGCGCGGGACACAGGGTTTACATGTCTGCAGGCGCCCCAAGGGCCCACCAGAGCCATCTCAAAGTATATTACGCAAGTTATTGGCGGCAGGCTTCATCCTGCTAATCAAACGATTCTGATTACTTTTGGGGACTTTGGTTAGGTAAAAGAAAAACAAACAATAAAGTCAGGTATGCAAGAGCTGATATTGTCTCAAGGGCCCTGCGGCTTTCCATTACAAGCCAGAGGAATACCAATATGTTTCATGGTTGAGTCACTTGTGTCTGTGCTGTTTGCACCAGGTTGTTGATCACATCGATTTGCGCTTTTTTCTTCAGTAATTTATTTCCTTAGATAGTCTAATTTATTCCTTCTATCCTTAGTCGCTCAAGTGTGTTCCCCATAGATTTTTTGAAGTAGTACTAGTTTTTTGGAGTCCTCCTCGGTTGTAAAAACATAATTCAAGTTCATGGAGCTGTTATTAATATGTTGTTGTCAACAGGGAGAAGTTACATTTTAAATTCCACGACAGTGGAGGGGTTTATAGACAAAGAGAGAAGGGAGGAAAGGAATGAGCAACAAAACAGAGAAGGAAAGAGATGCCTTGCTATCCATTAAAAGTCGATCCCCTTTTTGTTGTGACAATTGTGACTCCACCTGCCATGCGCTGGAGATGACCCATGCCCAGCCACTGTCACAGTACCACTGAATGCTCAGTGACAGCATACTGCACTGCTTTCATCCACCCACCCACATACACACACATCCCCACACTTTAGTGATCTGAAGCCTTTCCCTCGCCCAGGTGTACTGACTCTGTGTTACGGAAGGCTGAGTCACCACTCACACATACCAAATGTTCTCTTGGTCCCAAAATCCCTTCTCTGAAGTCTCTGTGGCTGCCGCTGCTTTCAGAACTCAATGGCAGAACGGGGACAAGATTGTGTCAGAGGCCTCGGCCTGCATGTTGACTGCAAACTCTCAACATCTATTCCTCACCAGCTAGGAAGGAGGATGCTGTCCTTTCCGACTATTTGAAACTGAGAGAATAGTTTTATGTAATAAGGAAAGTCGCAGTCTACATATTTAACCACATTTGACTGCGTATGTGTAACTGAACATTATATGTCAAGTTCGCACACCACTACAATTTGGAAAGTTGTAGCTGCTAGAAATGGAATTAGTAACAACATTGACACAAAACCTGAAAGAGCAAGGCCAATTAGGAACAATGCGCCTCTTGGCTTGACACATTCACACTGTCATTTTCACATTGCGTGTACGATTTGAGTGTACGTGTGTGCATCTGTCACTTTTTATCTCGTTACAAAATGGCAGTGGCATTGGTGAGCTAATTTAACAGCCTGTTGTAGGTGAATACGGATGTAATTAGAGCCTCACATCTCTCACCGAGGACCTGGAGCTAATGCAGGAGATATCCTTCATATCCTATTCCTTACAGCAGACACCTTGTCTTTGTTTAAATTACCACAAGTGCTCCTCCACAATAGCACAAGTTGTCTAGAGCCCGTTCAGCTCAAACCAATTTACTTTGCCTCCCTCCCTCATGGTCTATAAAGAGTAACGCGTTCTTTGTTCAACCGAGCACTTTTAGCTGCTGCTGTTAGATTGACTTTCTCTAAAGCAGAATGAGAAATTGCCTGGTGGTTTGATATTAACTGTGTGTTCCTCTTTCAAGTAAGAGAAGCTGTCAATGCCCTTTATGGCGCATGCGGCACTATAGGCCAAGAGTCTGACTAGTTGTCCTGGTAAAGCAAACTGCAGGAATGCTTGGCACTAGGAACTCAGAAATGTCTTTTAAAAGGAAATTCTCATTCAGCAAGGATTCGACATGTGGAGCCTTTCAGCAGAATCCGCTAGCTCTCTAATGTGCACAGGGAAATAGTCAATGTACAATGTTCTGTTATGTTCCGCCGTCTTAAAAGCGAAAGAAAAGGCAGCTGCTGACCTATGCTACATATTTTTCCCCCACCTTGAAGACCCAGGGCATTTTCTGTCAGACTTCCTGCTGAGTGCAATATATTTTATGTGGGTTGTTCTTTATTATTCAATCTACTGCTGTCAGAATTGGCCCAGTGTGCTGTTTAATAGCTGTTTGAGACTCACTAAACTGAGTTTGACTTGTGTTTCCTGTCAGTCTTACTGGGTCAACATGTCATTTTTGACCTGCTCATGGCCTGAATTAAACATACGGTCGTACTCGACTCAGATTTCCAATAAATGGGTAAGCTCTTCTTTACAGTAATTACATGTTTGCCATGAATTATATAGAATCTATACAGTATTAATCTTACTTGACTGGAGTAGAAAGAGGTGACAACTTCCACAGCCATTGTGAAATATGACAACCAGGCATTAACCTTTCATAACCGCCTTAAGGGTCAAAAGCAGATTAAACCTTATGTTCTTGTAAGCTGCTGGAAACACAGGATTTTATGAAATAGTTGTGCTAGACACTACTGCTGCCTGTCAGTGAGAACATGTACAAACGCTGTGCAAAGCAGGGATCAGTAATTGCATGTAAATCTCCAACACTTATCATTTTTCAGAGCGTTTCTCCTTTTAAACCAAACGTTTCACTTGTGTAAGACACTAAGTCTCTCTAACGGTTAACTGAAGTGCTATCCAACTATACTTTTATGTGATTACGGTTCATGCGGAGGTTAATAGTCTATTTTATCTCCACAATATGAGTGAAACAGAGATGCCATTTTTGTGACAGTAGGTCGAGGGCCACTACAACGCTCCACTCAGCACAGACAGACAGGCAGATGGTCTCAAAGGCCAATGCTGCCAAACACAGCACCAGTCAGAGAGAGAGATGCAGGAGTTTATGTGAAATACATGGATAGCCAGCAGATGGATCAGTACTTACTCAACCTGCTGCTTAGTGTTGTTTTCCTCAATGCACTCGAGTCTGCAGTAATCTTGCTCTGCCCAGAAAACACTGAACTTCCCTCTACTTTGCTGCATCTTACCTTCCCTTTTTGAATTAGTGTCTTGTTCCACCTTTCCGTTTGTCTCTTTCTGAATGCAGAGCTTTCTGTTGGCTATTTATTTGTTTTTTCTTTCATCTCAGCCCCCTCCTACTCCCCTGCTTCAGTGGTTGTTGAGTCAAGCCTCAGTTCGGCCACAGACTGCTCCCCCTGGGCCTATTGGGAAAATGAAAGTTGGGACTGTTTAAGATGGAGGAGGTTCACTGGTTCAAAAAGAGGCTAAACAAACAAATATGCGGTTATATATTTGGATTAGGCGTAAATAGTTTAGAATAAATATTTAGGAATTGAAATGCCTGATGGAAACATGGATTTGATGTTACAGTGAAACACTTGATATTCAGTTTTCAGTGGGCTAGCCACCGTGGGTTGCAAGTTGTCAATACATCTTCTATAGACGAAAAGGTACATTTACATAATGATTTCACTGAGGGACAACACGGAGTGAAGATTTCAAGCCTGTATGAAGGAAAGGAAAACACAACATTTAGAGGTTGTGAACTTTCAATAAACGATAATATTGCTGTGGATGCGCATCAGTTTGAAAAGTCGAATCTCCTTGATATTAGATCTCTGTATTGTTATTTTATAGATGAGTGTCACCCCGGTTAATTAACAGCTGATGAAAGAGAAGGAAAACATTTGTTAAGGCGTTGTAAGAGCTCTGTAGTGTGGCTGCACAGCTGTATGATCTGTATGATTTTGTGCTTGTATTCTTTAAAAGTAGTCATTTATGCCGCAAGATTAAAGAATTCTTGAGCTGTCCATGAATCATAATTGTTAAGAAAGGTTGTAAATGGCCTTTTTCTGGGCTGTTGACTCAACTTTTAGGATCTTTTATTCATAACCGGAGTTGGTAAAGTGTGACAGATGTGGAGTCAACCTCAGGCCAGTAGGTTAACAAGGAGCTCCAGAGAATGCAACCTTTCTCTCTCAGTGATCTAAATGAGCGGGGAGGGAATATGCTTCATGGAAATGTAATGGCTTTTTACATAATTCACAAGTCTGGTTAAGAAGAAAAAAATGTTGAGGCCTGAGGTCTCCTGCATGTGATGCTGACAGTGGCACAGCCCCAAATGTCCTTAATGCTATTTATATAAAGGAATCAGGAGGAAAATCTTGTTCAGTCACATTTGGCTGATTTTCTTTCTCACATCTTTCTTTTCTTTTCTGTCCGCAGTGAGGGTCGTGTGGAGCTGCTGGGAGGAGGCAGTATTCAGATCTTCAATCTCACAGAGGAGGATGCCGGCATTTACACCTGCATGGCGGACAATGCCAACGCAACCATTGAAGCCCAGGCCCAACTCACCATACAAGGTACCATCAGCATTGTCTGCCTTCTGGCGCAAAATCGTAACAGAAGAACAGAAAAAAACAAATTATCTATTTATCTGAAAAAGCTCAGCCAATCTTCCCGTGGCTCTATGTTTTTAAGAAAATGTGAAACAAGGAGACCGTACTGACTCTTATTAAGATAGAGATTGGACTTTATACGAGTGCCAAGAGAGGATGTATTAACTAATAAGGAGAGTGCCGTGCTTGAGAGCTGCAAACAGACTCATTCCATCTGATTAAGTTTGGAAATCAGCTTATTAGACGACTAAAGGACACTTCCCAGACCTGAAACAAAACCACTTAGTTTGAAATGAAATGGACAAGGTGTGTTTCTTGCTCGCAAACTATATAAATGTGCACAAGCAGGTAACTGTTGGGATATGCTGCACACTAAAAATATCAAAGCGTTGACAGTGAGTGAAATATTCAGCATAAGTTTGCATATGTAGCATGTGTGGTGTGCTATTACCTGTTCAAATCTGCCGTTGCCCATAACTCCACTACACAAAGCAACAACAAAAACATTTGAGCTGCACATAGAAAGACAAGTATAAGATTTTAGAAGAGACAAAAAAGAACGTGAGAAACTTGAGATACCAGACAACATGGTGAACAGAAATAGTTCACCTCTGCAAAAGAGGTTATATTGTGTTTTGGTAAATGTGTGTCTGACGCTTAGTATCCTTTGAAGGTACTAGACTGCTGATGCTGTAGTATGTATCACTCGAAATTCAGTGTAGATGAGCAAATAAAAATTCGAGACATATTCGTTTTGAGACATATTTTTTTATGAGCATTAATTATCACACTTACACAAGCAGCAGCTGCCATTTCCCAAGTGAACGCTGACCAATCTTTCTCTTTAAAGTCCAACTTCGATAGCAAAGACTTCATTTTTCCACGACTGGTCTAAAATTCCCATATAAGCTCAGTACTTGTGTCATGGTGTGAAATACAAAATGAATAAATAATGCGTGTCAAATCTCAAGAAAAGCAACTAGAATCAATGTTTCGTCCAGTGATACCATACTATATCCTGCTCTGTAAATGTCAATGCAAGTGACCAGCACTGGAAATAATCATAACATAAATCTAAAGAACTAATTTTCACTCAGCAACCAATCTCCTCTGAAACATTTTTTTCTCCCCTTCCCAAGTGTTGAAATCCATCCATGCCTCATATGGTAACAATGAGTGAACAATGTAAAAATCCAGCTTTGACAACACAATGAATCGAGCACGCCATATTCTCAATCTGTATGAGAGTGACAGAAAGGAGAACCATCTGTGGAAAAATCTGTGGATGAACGTAAAACCACTCTCACATAGGAGACACACCCACAGTAATTGCGTTGTAATTACTGTTGTCAGACTTTGCGTTGTTGAGAGAAATAGACATGAACACAAACATGTCATGTGTGCTTTTCACAGGTGAGGCAAGACAACAGGATTTGCTGTGAAATAACTTTAGACTGGGGGAAACACCCTGAGGCTCATTCCTGGGTTCATTGCATTTCACACGCAGCCACATCGTGCTATGACTCCATCTCTTTTCCCCCCAAATCCCTTCATCCCACCATCACCCCTCCACTACCCTTTCATCATTTCCCGTTGCTCACTGTGATTAAAGGAGACAGTAATGGGAAATGGGATTAGGTCACAGGAGGACATCGGACTTCACTCGTTTTCAGATTTCAAGTCTGTCCATCGAATTCCCGCTGAAATCCCTCATGTCTCTGACCCGACCCTGCCAGCCTCCACCTCCAATGGGACAAGACTGTAGAGGATTGATCAGCACTCTTTGAATATTGTTGAAAGACATCAGTCATTGTAATGCAATAAACCGGTTTGATTAAATCCTATGCTGTAGACTCTAAGGCCTAATTGCATTTGCTCCATCCAGATTCATGAAGAAACCAGATTGTGGCATTGATTTGCTCCCTTGACAACCGAAATGACACTTGAAAGGTCAATTGATTCCTTGAGGAAACAGTTCCGCTCATAAAATGACATAACATCAACACTATATTCCCCATGATTGACGGCTATAACAACACTGTAGGGGCCTCTTCTGCAGCAGGAACAAGGAGCAATTGTGTGTTTGGCCACTGGCTTTTCATAGACACTGCACAGTTTGTGCTTGGGGAAAGATGCAGAGAGGTGGCCGGGGATTTGATATGGTAAAACATTGTTAGGCTTCGCCTGGAGATAGCTTGGGGGTTTGTGATGCAGCTGGTGCTCATCTGTGGAGAGAGCCATGCACAGGGCTGCAGCAGGTGTGTGTGTGCACTATCACACAACCAGCATACATAATGAAGCCACACAAGGTCAATCACTCTATACACCTGTATGCATTCACTACACGTGCATTGGTTTCCAGATTCAACCATTCTTCAACCAATGGACCTGCCTTAGTGGCTTTTCAGTTAAGTGTCCTTGGTTGCTATTTCCCCTCGAGAATATGTTTGTTCTTTTTTATTTTCAATAAATAAGCTTTGGAATCTTGTACAATGTGTACTATCTGTGAGAAAGAGACAATACATTCCATGCTGTTAAAGTTACAGGGACACAAAGCCCAACCAAAGACACACAGTTACAGTAGTACATTTCTGAAAAATAATAATACATCTCTCAAAATATATCATTAGTATTTTTTTTATGAAAGTCTCTACCTGCAATGTACAAGGTGGAAACCGTTTTTTTTTAAAATGACCAAGGCATTAACGCTTCAGGGGAATCAGTTTTATGGTCCCTTAGCAGTGAACCCTACTTATCAGAATCTTATACACCTAATTAATGCAGTTGTTTTACTTCACATGAGCAGAGCTTGCCGGCAGAAAATTGTAGATTTATTGAATAGCTGTCCGTCTTTATGCTACAATAATAGTAAATGTTCAGCTGCAAATCTTTTATTAAAAAACCAACTGAACAAACATGAATATGTTGCAATGTGAAAGGATGTATAAACAGCTCCAGGAGAGATAGTCAGCGTCTGTCAAACATAAGCAAGAGGTATACCAGAGCAGCGTGTTCCATATCAGTTTTATTAAATGTGATCACAGTGCCAGTGAGATAAAGAGGACTAGAGGCTGTCTTTGTGTAAACACAAGCACAATCTGGCATTACCATTGAAGCTAAACTTTTTCTTAGACTGCAGAAAAATTCCAGGCAGGTAGATTTGAAGACTGTCAGACTTTAATCTAAAGTGTTGACAGTTACAGTTCAGTGTTTCCCCTAGGATGGAGTCATAGCAGCGGTGCTAAGGCACGTGGGCCCAGCATAATGTGAGCGTGGAGCGCGTGGAATCTTTTAGTGTGTGCGAAGTGCGCCCCGCCAATTTGTTTCTATGTGTCTGCCAGCACAAGAAAGGCTCTTGAGGCCTAGTACCAGGGCCGGTTCTAGCCAATTTGCTGCCCTAGGCGAGATTTTATATATAAAGAATAATTGAAAAATCTCTACAAAAGACAAATACACTACAAAAACAGAAACGTATTGACATAGGTAATATACGTCAAAATGGCTTGCACTTTGGCTGTGAGCTGCGGGGCGCCTGATAAGCCAACATCCCCCACTTTCATCACTTACAGCGCCCATCGTACAGGGCAAATAAAAAGTGTAACCGGGGTGAAAAGGGTGTTACATTTACTTAAAAAAATATATATTTATTTTATTTCTTTTTTTTTGGGTACCTGGCTGGCGCCCCCTAGCAGCGGTGCGCATATTTCAGCAGCGGCGCTCCGCCGCCACTATTTGTATATAGGGGAAACACTGCAGTTAACTCCATCAACATCGTATCCAGGATTGTGTGATTACTGTATGTTTGTGAGAGTGTTTTCTGTTCAGTGTGACTTCGCTGTGACTTTTCACCCTGGAAAAGGATACATGAGGAAAAAGAGACAGCAGCTTTTGATTATGGTCTTGTTCGACAGGGGCACCACCCAGACGTGTGTGTGTGTGTGTGTGTGTGTGTGTGTGTGTGTGTGTGTGTGTGTGTGTGTGTGTGTGGTGTGTGTGTGTGTGTGGTGTGTGGTGTGTGTGTGTGTGTGTGTGTGTGTGTGTGTGTGTGTGTGTGTGTGTGTGTGTGTGTGTGTGTGTGTGTGTGTGTGTTGTGTGTGTGTGTGTGTGTGTGTGTGTGTGTGTGTGTGTGTGTGTGTGTGTGTGTGTGTGTGTGTGTGTGTGTGTGTGTGTGTGTGTGTGTGTGTGTGTGTGTGTGTGTGTGTGTGTGTGTGTGTGTGTGTGTGTGTGTGTGTGTGTGTGTGTGTGTGTGTGTGTGTGTGTCATTTTTATAGGGCTCCAAGCCAGTGGCCCTCATCAATCACAGCTTGCTATCGTGTCATCAACTTAATTCTTCTTTCCATATGCAGCGCTCAGGAAGTCCCTGCCCCCTGTAAAAGTTAGGATTTATAACCACACACAGGAGGAGTCGTTTTGCCTTGTTATAGCAATGAGTAAAAATAGACAGTACCAAAAATAAACTGCATATTTGAAATTTCAGCTCCAAGTTCCACTTTCTTCTTCACTGTTCTGTAGCAAGAGAAACGTAAGACATTGTACATCTACACAGGCAGCTCACATTGATCGACGGAGAAAAAAGCAACATGTGACTTAATGTCAAAGCATGTGTTGAAAGTGCTATAGTATTTCTTTCCCTGAACCATGCTCAAAGACTCTTTTTGCCAACTAGTGACAGAAATAGTTGTTGAGAAAATAATGCCTGGAAGAAATCTGATAAGATTTGTTGGCATTTTTGGTCTGCTTTTAGTTGGGAACACCATGTTGCTGCACCCCACTGTGCCGTCACAGAGCAGATATATTCTGGCTGAAACAAAAAGGAAATTTTCCATCTAGCTATTATAAGAACACTAATCTGATAAGGATCAACACCCCCAGGCACACACACACACACATTTTCCCTTTTTTCATAGAGGGTGTTAGCTCAACCACTGGGGTGAGAGGTGTGTGAGGGGTCGCTGTCAGATCCT